GGGACTCAACAGATAAGGATTCTTTGTAATTTATTGTTATTATGATATTATGAGGACTGTCATTTTAAAGGAAAACTCTGAGGATGAATCATGAGATATTTAGTTTTGTTTGAGTGAAGATCAGAAGAAAATATTTCCCAGAACAGCTTGCAGAAAAGCTGACTCCTCAGGTGCCGAATTCCTTATTTTTTAGCTATGGAGGGCTGACTCTGAAGGGCAGACTTACAGATACGGTCTGTCTAGTTCTTCTCTTCCTGCTCCTTGGAGACCCAGGTTTCCTCCTTAAGCGAGGACTTGTCCCTGGAAGAGTCTTAAAGTTGCTAAACAGGAGTGTCAGCCTGTGCAGGCTGCCAGCCTGCCAGCAACCATATCCTAGCCACTCATCTAACACAACAGGCAGCAGCCTGCAGTCCCTAGTGCCTCCCAACACTTTCACAACCGACATTGATTTATTTGCTTTCTCTCTGTCTGTCTCCCCACGAGAAGGGCAGCTTTATGAAGCAGGAACTTCTCACTCATATTCACATCTGCATTCCCAGCTATCAGCCCAGTGCCAGCTACCCAGTGCTGCTCAACCAACAGTGTTCAATGAATAAATGAAAACAGTTCATTGCTTTGTCATGACCTACATGATGGCCCTCTGTTTTCAAAGATGTTCTCCAACCCGCCTTATGAAACATTTTTATAAGCTCATGACCAAACTCATTGCCACTGAGTCAATTCCAACTCACAGCGACTCTGTATAAGGTTTCTGGGGCTATAAATCTTCAAAGGAGCACACAGTCTCTTTTTTTCCTTCAGAGTAGCTGGTGGATTTGAACCAGCAACCTTGCAGTTAACAATCCAATCCTTACCCAGCTGCGCCTCCAGGACTCTTTCAGTATTGTTACAGTCCCTATAAAAAACAGCTGCTGTGGCATTGACGCTGAGTCATGGAGACCACATAGTCACAGGGAACTGTGCTCCAAAGGGTTTGCAGAGGCTGGGTTTTGGAAGTAGGTTGCCAGGTCTTTCTTCGGAGTGCTTCTGGGTGGACTTGAACTTCCCACCTTTCAGGTGGGCCACTGAGTACACAGATTGTTTACATCACACCCCTCAGAGACTCTACAGTCATTAAGACAGACAGAACTGCCAATAAGGGCATCTTGGAAACTACTCAGAATCTGCACAGACTGAGGGACAACTGAGAACCCACCTGCACTGCCCTTGAGGTAGGCAAAGAAGCGCCTCGTCCCTCTGACGCCGCCAATGCATTTCTGGAGTAGCCACTGGTCTGCCTGTCTCCATCTCATCATCTTTGCTGCCAAGAAAAGTCCACCGTAAGAAAGAGAGAATGAGATCTACCCCTGGTCCCTCTTTCAGCCTCGCACACAGCCAGCCCTCATTTTCTCAGGGTGAGCGGAAAAAAAAAAAAAAGCAGGCAGCCATTCAGGTGAGTTGAGTACTGATGACTGCTTTTGAGGTGAAGTGCCAGTTCATCTTCTGTGATGTCAGGAAGCATGCAAAGGACGTTCAAACACAAGTACAACTCACAATTCTGGAACACCCTCCCTCAAGGACTGCTCCCTTCAAAGGTCCCTGACAGATATCATTTTTATTCTTTGTATTCCTTCAGTCAAACTTTCCCAATACATACATGGAAGGAGGGAGTTGAGAATGGAAAGATATGTTTCATCATTTTACTCTAGAAATGTTCCTGAATCTTAAATTTGCTTGGGATGGAAGATACTTACTTTTCTTTGGCTAGTTAGACAGTTAACCAGGTTCCCAATTCAAACCTGGATGGAACTACATTCCTTACTGTTCTAATATGTAGTATATGACTACTAAATGCCAGATACTGTTCTAGGTGACTGGGGTAAATCAGCAAACAGAACAAAATTTCTTGCCCTCAAAGAGTTTACATTCTAGCAAAAGAGACTGACAAAATAGTAAAGAAAATAGATGTTTTAGGCAGGGTTCTCTAGGGAAACCAAACCAGGTCATTTATGATTATATATATATATTGATACAGTGAGAAGGAATATAACAGCTAATTAGTCCACACAGCAGTACAGAGGGCTCAGTTCAACTCATTTTTGTGGAACAGTTACTATACTGAAAGCCCTTCAATTCATGAGGAGACTTCCATCCAAGGTCAAGGAAGCAGACAGTGGAGTTCTTCCTCAGGCCAAACAGCAGAGTCTGCCCACAGACAGCAGACAGCAGGGTGGGTCAGCAACAGTCAGTTGTGAGGGAGCTTAGCAAAGCAGGCCCTGATAAGATATCAAACCCAAGCAATGCAAGGCAACAGGATCGGCCAGCCTCAAGCTCAAGCAATGTAAACGCCAGCAGAATGGTGTAGCAGGTCTCAAAGGAGCCTCAAGCTCTAGAGACATGATCCACAGGTTGGCTTCACCCACAAGTAGTGTAGCTCACAGGTTGAAGAGAGAACCAGCTAAAGCAGCAGCATGCTGATCCGATCACCAGAGAGCAAGAGAGAAAGGGGGGTGGGGGTGCAGAGCCATTTATCTCTTTGCCCTCCAATCAAACTGAGACCTGTTTAATTTCTGCCCACATGTTCCTATTGCCCAGGTTGGCACAATAAACCTAACTATCACAATGGATACATACATAATCTGGTTCATGTAAGGTTATGCTATAGAAAGAAAGAAGAAGTAACGTAGTTGAAGGAATTGGGAATGCTGAGATGAGGTAAGGCCAAGACTGACCTCCTCTGGTTACACAAGGGGAAGAGAGAATCCAGCCCCACAGCTGTCCAAGGATGAGTCCTACGAGACAGAGATCAGGGATGCCTACACCTTCCAACCTTATTTATTCTTTCTCTCAGTACTCCACTTTTCTGCTGGGTTCAATAATGCATGACAATGGCCACATAGATCTCACAGACAATATTCATGATTAAGGGGTTCATAAGGAAAGTTAACAGATTCATACAAGTCAAAATTAGAAACAATAAGAATACAGTTCTTTTGTCTACAGTGTCTCCTCTCAGTAATGTCCTCAGGCATATCTCTTTCTCTGGTCCTCAGCCTAGTAATAATGCTCCAGCAAGTGTTACAAAGGTCCCCTATTGACATTGGGCCTCCACTCAAGTACTCCCTCAATGCAAGAATACTTTCTTCTATTAAATTGGCATTCTATGATGCTCACCTTCCCGACACAACCGCTGAAGACAAAGCAGGTGAGTAAGCAAATGTGGTGAAGAAAGCTGATAGTGCCCGGCTATCAAAAGATATAGCATCTGAGGTCTTAAAAGCTTGAAAGTAAACAAGTGGCCATCTAGCTCAGAAGCAACAAAGCCCACATGGAACAACATATCAGCCTGTGTGATCACGAGGTGTCGAACGGGTCACTGAAGACAAATGGGTGCATAAGCAAATGTGGTGAAGAAAGCTGATGGTGCCCAGCTACCAAAAGATATAGCATCTGGGGTCTTAAAGGCTTGAAGGTAAACAAGCAGCCATCTAGCTCAGAAGCAACAAAGCCCACATAGAAGAAGCACACCAGCCTGTGTGATCACGAGCTGCCAAAGGGATCAGTTATCAGGCATCAAAGAACAAAAAATCATATCATTGTGTGCTCACCTCCATGATACGATCCCTGAACACAAATGGGTGCATAAACAAATGTGGTGAAGAAAGCTGATGGTGCCTGGCTATCAAAAGATATAGCATCTGGGGTCTTAAAGGCTTGAAGGTAAACAAGTGGCCATCTAGCTCAGAAGCAACAAAGCCCACATGGAAGAAGCACACCGGCCTGTGTGAGCACAAGGTGTCGAAGGGCTCAGGTATCAGGCATCATCAGAACAAGAAATCTTACCATAGCGAATGAGGGAGTGCAGAGTGGAGACCCAAAGCCCATTTGTAGGTAACTGTAGATTCCCTTGCAGAGGGGTCTTGGGGAGGAGACGAGCCAGACGGGATGCAATGTAGCAACAATAAAAAATACAACTTTCCTCTAGTTCCTAAATGCTTCCTCCACACCCCCACTATCATGATCCGAATTCTACCTTGCAAGTCTGGCTAGACCAGAGGATGTACACTGGTATAGATAGGAACTGGAAACACAGGGAATCCAGGGCGGATGATCCCTTCAGGACCAGTGGTGAGAGTGGCAATACTGGGAGCGTAGAGGGAGAGTGGGTTGGAAAGAGGGAACCGATGACAAGGATCTACATGTGACCTCCTGCTTGGGGGACAGACAACTGAAAAGTGGATGAAGGGAGACATCGTACAGGGCAAGATATGACAAAATAATAATTCATAAATTATCAAGGGTTCATGAGGGAGGGAGGAGCGGAGAGGGAGGGGGAAAAAGAGGACCCAATGCCAGGGGCTTAAGTGGAAAGCAAATGTTTTGAGAATGATGAGGGCAATGAATGTACAAATGTGCTTTGCACAATTGATGTATGTATGGATTGTGATGAGTTGTATGAGCCCCTAATACAACGATTAAAAAGAAAAACCCAAAGCACCTCTATCCCTGAGAAATTTCCAAAGGAAGGGGCATGGGCATTTCTGCATTCTGCAAGCCAGTCTCCTGCTCACATCGCTCAGCTGCGCCCATTATCATCCACCACTCAGCCCTGGTGCCTCAGCTGCTCTCTCCACTTTTCTACACAGGGACCTGGGACATGCTCCACTCATGGCTCTTCTTTCTTGGTGGTTATGAGATTCTCTTTCTTGCTTTTGAGGTGGTTCATTTTATACCCAGTGGAATGGCAACACTGACAAATCCCCTCCTATCAATCCCATATACCTTATTTGCATGTTGTCACCCAGTCATTTGGTTGGAATTTTAAAGTCTATGGATAAAAAAGACATACCAAGTCATTTCACTTCACTGCATGGGGATGGGACTTGTATGAGTGGGCAGGATATAGCATAGATATAGCTATATTAGCTATATAAAAGATATTAGCATAGACTTTTTTGAAAAGATGAGATTTGAACAAAGATTTGAAGAGGTGAAGGAGAGAACCATGCACATATCTGGAATAAGAGAAAATAAATTGTATATACCGTATATGCTCGAGTATAAGCCGAGTTTTTCAGCACATTTTTAATGCAGTTTCTGTGGTAAATTTAGGGGCCTCAGCGGATATTTGGGTGGGCTTATACTCGAGTATATACGGTAAATTGTTTGAGGCACAGCCAGGAGGCCTTCACATGGCTGGATAGAGCAAGTAAGGAGCAGAGTATGAGAAGATGAAGCCAGAGAGGAAATGGGGCCAGATATTTAAGCACTTGAATACTGTTGTGGGAGCACTGGGTTTCCCTCTGAGACAGGGACTATTGGGCGGGGGCTAGGAGTGATGTGATTTAACTTATGGTTCAGAATGTTCATTCTAGCTGCTATGAACAGAGAACAAGAGTAGAAGCAGGAAAACTAATTAAGAGACCATTTCAGAACTTGATTGAACCATTATGGTGGCTTAGACCTGGAAGGTAGCATAATTTTATCATGTTCTATGGCCACCAATAACTCCCTTATTTCTAGTAGCAGTGAAATAAACAACCCACATGACCACAGCTTCTTGCTCTAAAAACCAGTTGCCATCAGATGACTCCAATTCCTGGTGACAGCTTGTGTGTCAGAGTTGCACTGTGCTCTCTAGGGGTTTCTATGATGTTTTTAAAACAGATTGCCTGTTCTTTCTAAGGTCCCTCGGGTTATTATGAACTTCCAGCTTTTTTGGTTAATAGCTGAGCATGCTAACCATTCCCATCACCCTGGGACTCCAAGTATGGTTGTATGTCCCATTTTTGAAGTCTCTAGTTGGCAAAAACTGCTAAAGACTTGATGACTAGCCAAAATATTGGCAGTTCAAACCCAGCAAGAGGTACCGTGGAAGACAGACCTGTCTTCTTGTATGTCCTGAAAATCCTGTGGAGCATTTCCACTCTGCACACTGGTATCAACTTCATGACAACTAACAACCACCACCTAAGATTTCCATCACATGGGTTGGGTTACCAGCAAGTCTAAGACTACACAGGCGGCCAGTGCTTGTTAGTTAACACAGGATTGACAGGCATACTTGTGCAGCTGGATTCTTGTGCTTCCTTCATCTCCCTCCAAGACACACATGCACACTTACCTCCTTCTGGGGACTTAATGAAGCTGGTGAGCTCTTGACAGAGAATGTACTGGAAACACAAGTTGGATTTACAGAAGAAAGGCAACCTGTATTTTTCCAACCAGGTCAATAATCCTTTGTATTTGGCGATCTAGAGTCCAAACAGAATGAGAAAGGCAAAGAGACAAGGAACTACTAAGAAATACCACTCAGAAAGAAACAGCTGATAATTTTATACAACGTGGTCTGGAAGAAAGGGAGTGGTGAATAAAATTCAAATCGAAGAGGAGTAGAGATTTATAGACTGAGGATCTCAAAGGGAAGTTACCAAATGAATTCATGGAACAGAAAAAAAAATGTTTACGCTCTTTGTCTTTTATCAGAAGTCTTCCTTGGTCCTTAAAATATCTCAAAACTTGGTTAACAGAGAAATAGAAGAGAGTCTTAGTATACAAGCCTCACTCTTTACAACCAACACATATAAATTGCACTATGTGTACCCAAAAAAACCCACAAAGGCTTATACAGAGCATCATTTAGAGTTTGAGATGGATTTCTGAGGGCCTGAGCCACCAGAGAAAAGATAAAAAAATAAAAGGATTTAAAAATTTTTTCAGAGTTCTCTTAGGGAAACTGAAAATAATCATCAATCAAAGTGGGTGTCTTTGCTATGAGCTCCAAATCCAGGAGAGCGAAGTCTGCTGTTTCTGGTCCTATGTGCCAGCAGTCGTGCATATGAAAGCCATTAGAAGGTGTAAGGTCTGTATAGTGGAAAGGAGAAGAGGAAGGCAAAAAAGTGAAGCTAGAGACAATAGACAAGGAAAGGAAAAATGTATAAAACAAAAGATATTTAGAACAATATGAGATTCTGTAATAGAATAGTTAATTAATCATTAGTAAATATAGTAAATTTATTTTATCTATACCTTATAAGGCAAATCATAAATCTATTACACATGGGCTGCCACTTCCTAGTCCATACCCATGGCAGACATTGCCAATCAATTACCAACATTTTTCTGACTGAGCTAACCTTAAAATTCTTCTCACAAAGTGCTTCAAACATAAATTATTTAATACCTGAGAGATGTATCCCTCTCACTAACAGACTAGAATAAAAAAAGAAAGAATTCACAGCCTATGACTTGCCCAAGAGGCAAAAATATTAAAATGGAGCAATGTCCACCTGGGGGTGACATTGTTCAATTCACCTGTTTTCTTCCAGAATCATGCTCAAGGTCCCATTTCTCTCCCAATCCACATTTTAATATTCATCTCCTTCTTCTCCTTCCCAAGCCCTTCACCATTCAAGGCTCTTACCAAGTCATCTGGTATTTCTGGACACAAGCGCCATTGTGAATTTTCAACAGTGTAAAATGGCATCTGACCAAACACCTGCAAACGAAAGTCCAGAAACAAGCCAAGTAAACAAGTCATTTTTCCTCTTTATGACACTGTTCTTCTGTAGACACGGGATAAGAGAGACTCCACTGTGCTCCTATTTCCAGGGGTCTGAATTTTTCAATGAATTTCAACTCACTGTGCACAGAAACACCCAAGTAAATTCAATTGCAAAATTCACTTATTTTTGTCTTTCAATCTGGAAGTGATCTTACCTGTATACAAAGACCAAAGTCCATCCACTTAAAACACACTTGCTTTGTGGATTGTTACTTACATTCGCCATGGATTTGGAGAGTTAAGCAAGAATATAAGTTTCTTTTTATACAAGCAAAAAATTTGGATTTGCATAAACTCTTGAACTAGAGAAAGTTGAGGGGGCTGGAGCTATGAAAATTTGAGGTCTAATTCAAGTATGGGGTCAACACCCAAACAAACAAACAAAAACCCACAAAGACATTGCCATCAAGTCAATTCCAATTTATAGGACCCATAGTGTAAATCTCCCCCTTTGGTTTCTGGGGCTCTAAATATTTACTGGGGTAGATAGCTCAGAATCAACAAAGCCCACATGGAAGAAGCACACCAGCCTGTGTGATCACGAGGTGTCAACAGGATCAGGTATCAAGCAACAAAGAACAAAAAATCAAATCATTGTGAATGTGGGGGAGTGCGGAGTGGGGAGCCAATGCCCATCTGTAGGCAATGGGACATCCCCTTACAGAAGGGCTGTGGGGAGGAGATGAGCCAGTCAGGGTGCAGTGTAGCACCAATGAAACATACAACTTTCCTCTAGTTCCTAAATGCTTCCTCCCCCTATCCCCCACCCCCACTATCATGATCCCAATTCTACCTTACAAATATGGCTAGACCAGAGGATGTACATTGGTACAGATAGGAACTGGAAACACAGGGAATCCAGGACGGATGATCCCTTCAGGACCAGTGGTGAGAATGGCGATACCGGGAGAGTAGAGAGAGGGTGGGGTGGAAGTGGGGAACCGATTACAGGGATCTACATATAACCTCCTCCCTGGGGGATGGACAACACCCACTTGGGTGAAGGGAGATGTCATACAGTGTAAGAGATGATAAAAAAATAATAATTTATCAATTATCAAGGGTTCATGAGGGAGGGGGTGGGGGGAGGGAGGGGGAAAATGAGGAGCTGATGCCAGGGCTTAGGTGGAGAGCAAATGTTTTGAGAATGATAAAGGCAATGAATGTACAAATGTGTTTTACACAATTAATATGTATGGATTGTGATAAGAGTTGTATGAGTCCCCAATAAAATGATTTTAAAAAAAGAAAAAAAGTGTCTGCATGAAGAATCCTTAGTCTTACCAAATTTTATAATATTATATCTAGTTTTGTTTCTATCACAGAGGCCATATTTTCCATATACTGTTCCTTCCTCTTTATTTCTTTTATAATTTCCAATAATTATCAATGCAGCTTAATGCCAAGTTTGATGAATTTTATACTGAAGAAGTTAGTAGAATTTAATTTATTTATCACTAGCTTTTTTAAAATATAGTTTTATTGTGAATTAGGTAGTGGTTTACATTTCAGATCATCCATTTTATGCTCAAACTACCTTCCAAACCACTATTAGCTTGCCCAGGCCCCGTTTTGATTTCTCTTCCCCTCCCACTTAATGCAAGTTAATAGCTGTCAATCCTTTAGCCTATTACTTCAGCTTCCTTCCTCTCGGTAACCAAAAACTCTGCTTCCTTGGTGTGAAAATCTTTGACTTCATTTTTGCTTTTGCTTTCTTTTCTTTTTTTAATTATTAATTGGAAGTTAATGACATAACACCTCTGAGACACACCCGAATATGAACAAGCAAAAACAAAATAAAGCAGAATGTCCATCATAGGTTTTCCGAATAATACACATGATAATAATACAGCATAACAGACATTGATGTGGCAAGACCTTGCCTGTCCACCAGTCTTGGTACAGCTGTCTTCTGCTTCCTCAGACACAGTGGTCTCCCATAATATTTACCCTTTTGTGATTCACTGAGCATAATGTTCTCCAGGTCCCTCCATGCTATAAGGTGCTTCATAGTTTCATCAATATTGTTTTGTAATGCATGGTATTTCATTGTGTATTGCAAGCTTTTGTGGTTGGTTCATACATTTTAATGATAATTGCATTAACTGGACTTATTTGTAGGCATCTAGACATTGTCCTATCACAGGCAGGGGTGTACCTGTATTTCCAGATAGATCTTGAAATGTTCTCTTTGGTGATGAATGCAAGGCTATTTCTCTTGCATTTGTCATTTCTAGCACAGGAAACTATATGACTGATTCAAGTGGCCAAAATCAGTCCATTCCCACTCAGAATGCCTAGGATATCATTCCTCAAGCATTCCATTTCCTTTGTGATGACTTCCAATTTTCCTACATTCACGTTTTATACATTATACCTTCTGGTTATTAATGGATGTTTGCAGCTGTTTCTCCTCATTTCAAGTCAAAATTGATGGGAAATTTCCTAGCTACTGTCCTCTCTTGTCATGGAGAAGTTAGGTTGCTTAAGCAACCAGCGTTGAGACTCATGGGAAACAACTTCTAAGTTTGCAGGCAAGTAAGCTTAGCAGTCTCGAGGTAGGCTCTGAAATGTCCCCAAATGCCCCAGAAAAACGGGAGATGAACAAAAAAGGATAAAACCCATGTCCTGACTGAACTCCTAGCACGTTATGTCTGTCAGTCTGATCATCCATGAAACCAACAGCCCCAAATGTTTGTGCCTCCATGACCCCCCACTCTCCTTCTGTAGTCCTCACTGTGAAGGATGGACAGAGGGTGGGGGTTCTGCCTGCATGTTAACAATCGGAGCTGATAAAATAGATTCAGTCCTGAGGGGGGTTTCCCTGCTCTGCCCTGGGTGCTTGACATAGATGTTCCACCAGGACAGGATGACAAGGTAGGACTGTGAAACTGTGAGTTTATGAAGGATGTTGAGTGGAATCATTTTGTTCCAGGAAGGTGGCACCGTAAGGACCACGGGGCAATGTGGACCACACCCCAGGCCTGGAACCAGAAGGTGTGGTTAGCTCCAGAACTGGCTCCCTTCGTGGTGTGATCTAAGGCCAGGGATTCACCTCAGATTCCATCAGAGGGCTGTGCAAATGAGAATAATGCCTGCTGCTCAAGGTCATAGTGGGAATGAAATGTATGTAGTTTATAAATCAATAGGGATAGTTAATATTAAATCCTACTATCTCTCTCGAAGGGCCAAACCCACTGCTATGGGAATTATTCTAACTCATGGAGATGCCGTGCGCTACAGGGCAAAAGTGCTCCATAGGATTGTCTTGGCTACAGTCTCTGTAAAAGCAAGTCACAAGGACATTGTGTTAGTCTGCATAGGCTAGAGAAACAAATCCACAGAAATTCATATGTACATAATAGAGAGTTTTATATAAAAGGTAAGGGTACATTAAGAAAATGAGGACCTAATGCCAGGGGTTTAAGTGGAGAGGAAATGTTTTGAGAATCATGAGGGCAATGAATGTACAAATGCGCGTTACACAATTCATGTGTGTATGGATTGTGATAAGAGTTGGATGAGCCCCTAATAAAATAAATTAAAAAAAAAAAAAGAAAGAAAGCATCCCAACCCAGCCCAACCCAAGCCCATCAGTCCGACATTAGCCCATATGTCTGACACCGTTCTGCAAAGTCCTCCTCAAATTCGCAAAACACACACAATGATGCTGAATGCAGGAGGAAAACGGAATCAGTGAGTGAGTAAGCATCTCAGCACTGGCAGGGGTCTCCACAAGACTTTTCCAACACCCAGGGCTGCATCAGGGTAGGTCCATGCAGCTTCTCCTCAGGGATGTCTCACAGGAAGCGAGCCTTGCCAGTTGAAGCAAAGAATTAGCTAAGGCAGCCGCACACTGGTTTGACCACCAGAGAACAAAAGACCAGAGAACAAGAAAGGCGAGGCTCACTGAGACATTTACCGCACCATCCTTCAATTAATCCCACAATTAATCCCACATGTGTCTATCGGCCAGGTTGGCACAATACACCTTCACTGTCTCAGACATTCTTCAGTGATGCTGCTGAGTTAATGCAATCCACCAACGTTGGGCTAATATTTGAGTGCAAGCCTTTTGTGTCACCCAAGGCACTCTGAACACACCAGACACTTCTACATTCTGAGAGGTTTCAACTCACCACACGCTGTTTCTAGAGCGTTTCTTTAAAAGACCATTTTAACAACAGAAACATGGGTGAAGGGAGACAATGGATGGTGTAAAATATGAAAATAAAAACAATTTATAAATTATCAAGGGTTCACGAGGGTGTGATTGTAGGGGAGGGAGGGAAAAAGAGCTGATACAAAGGGCTCTAGTAGGAAGAAAATATTTTGGAAATGATGATAACATATGTACAAATGTGCTTGATACGACTGATGTACGGATTGTTATAAGAGCTGTAAGAGCCCCCAATAAAATGATTTATTTAAATGAAACTAATTTTTAAAAGAAAAAAATCATTTTATTGGGGGGATCTTACAAATCTTATAGCAATCCATTCTTCAATGGCATTAAGCACATTTGTACATATGCTGCCACCAACATTCCCAAGACAATTTCTTTCTACTTGAACCCTTGGTATCAGCTCCTCTTTCTTCTTCCCTCCCCTACCCTGCCACCCCGTGAAACCTTGATCAAGTACATATTATGTTGTTCTTTCATGTCTTACACTGTCCGTTGTCTCAGTCTTGTGGATGGATTAACTAAAATGCCTCAATCTTATCTCTTAAGGCTTTCGATTTTTAAAAAATCATTTTATTAGGGGCTCATACAACTCTTATCACAATCCATACACACATGAATTGTGTAAAGTGCATTTGTACAATCATTGCCCTCATCATTCTCAAAACATTTCCTCTCCACCTAAGCCCCTGGCATCAGCTCCTCATTTCCCCACTCCCTCCCCATTCCCCCTCCCTCATGAACCCTTGAT